CCTGCGCTCCCCGTCAGGGCAGGCCGCGCCGGCCCTACCCAGTCCAGGCCCAAAGGCTGCCGAGCCCGGAGGCTTCGCAGCCCGCTCTGCGCTACCCCTTCGCAGGCAGAGCCCCTCCGGCGGGGCGGCTTTGCTACCTTCTCTCTAGCTGGACTATCCCCCGTTGCAACACAGGCCTGTTGCCTTTGGTCCGACCGGAGCCGCGTCCTGCCTCCCCTCTGAGCCCTTAGGCCGCCTTCTCCAGCTGGAACGAGCCCAGTTTCCTCAGCTTCGTGCCTATTACTCATGAACTGAGCAGAACGGCTTGTGCAATTGATTTTAACTTGCTTTAGGTTCTTCTAGCGTGGCAACTGGTGGGGAAAACCGAGTATACCTTAAGGAGGCGGCGTGTGCAAAACCAGTAGGTCTTCTGTCCGGCAAAGGAAATTATCAAACCATGTTACTTAGACTGAAAAATATATCGCTCTCACATAGAAACCACGCCATCTATAAAGCGAGTGCGCTGCTCCTAGGTAGTGAGTCTTCAGCCCTGACTGTATGAGCAACAGAATTAAATCCAAACCTCCGCTCCAGGAAGAAAACAGAGTTGTTGCTGCAGATAGGTTCTTTTTTAGAACCTAAAAACGCAAACAACCAAATAATGCCATCATGTTCTATTTGAGCAAAACAAAGCAAAACCAAATTGCTGACCTTCTTGACAAAGAGGACAAGTCTTGCGTAAGTGTTTCCAAGTCTGGGTGTTTTTCTGTCTGTGTTATTTTTATTACTAGGTTAAATCTGACAGTTGCATCCAGTAATCATTATGGAGTCAGCTGTAGCTGTTCTGAAGTGTTACCAGCTTCAGTAAGACTAATTTAAGGTTTTTTCTTCCCTCTCATGTGAGCAACTCGGGGCATACACTTGACTTTATTGTCAATAACAGTTGTCCTTTTTCTTCCTGAGGATTTCAGAGGAAAACATTAGGAAAAAAAAATAAATGTTACATTTCCATTTTTAGATCCCAGCAGCAAAAAGCAGACACTATTCCAAGATGAAAAATATGGATTGTGATTTATTTTTATATTAATTTAGAGGCTCTTAATCATTCTATCCCCACTACACAGTTTGGAATAATGTTCTCAAATATGATGCATCAAAATGAGGGATTCTGCAGAAATTATGTTAGACACCTACTGAATTAGGTAATTTATACTGCAGACAAGAATGGCACGTGGGGAAGCAGACAGACAGACAGAGCATTCTTTGTCAGAGTGACTGCCTTAAAGCTTAGGAAGCTGTGGTTTGACATTTTGCTGAATGAGCTAATAGCCAAGACCCACCCTTATTCCTCATTTCCTGGCTCTCAGATGGACAACCTATGTTCTAGGAAGCCTACACAATGAAATACTTCTTACAGATCTTGGGAAGCCTGCTTTCTGTCACTCAACCTATAGCTCTGAAGAATCCGTTTTAGTTTAAAGAAACACATACGTGTATACATCTTGTTATTACTGCAAATAAACAGGATAAAAAAGGAAACAAGTAATAGTGGACTTTTTCATTTGGCCTACAACTGTTAATGCTCAAGCTCAGCCGTTTCACAATAGGTATTTTTTTAAATTCTGATTCCTAGAGGCAGAAACCTCTGAGAAATTGTGAGCTTTCATAACATGCAATTTGTCATTTCAGTTATTACAAAGGCAAAAAGAGAAAAAGTAGTATTAAACAACTCTTAATTTGTGGCCTTTTAAACTGTTTCTCTAAGCTGACGTTATTTGACTGAATATCCCCCTGTAACTATGTCTTTTCCAAGTCTGCAGACAATATTGACAGTGACGTCACTACTGATCATTGTAAAAATATATTTTAAATGTGCTTATTAGCTACTAGATAGATACAGATACCAACGTTGGGACTATGAGGTGACTGACTGATGTCAAGGATCGCTAGAGCAGATAATTAAATATTGGCGTTCTCTTCCATCCCACCTCTCCAAAAAAACAACAAACCAAAAGCACATAAAAACAAGGTTAGATTTATTAATGCCTGCAAGGGAAAATAGGGAAAATATGTTCTTAGTGAGGTGGGGGTTGTTATAAAGCAAAAAATGAATTCATCTGTTACAATAACTTTTTAAAGTAACTGTCCAAATGTAAACAGCATATGAATCACTGCAAGAGAACTGCACTATCTGGAAGATTCTTAGTTCACACAGGCTGGATTTGATCACTGTATCTGGCTACAAGATTCAAGTCAGTTTTTAGTCATAAGCCATGGGAGATTTTCGAAGAAGATAACATTTTTTGTTTCTAGGTACACTTCAAGAAGTTATTGAAGGCCTGAATTCTCATACACCACCATGCAATAGTATATTTTTGCATTTGGACTTTGCAGTAATAGAGCTGCCTGCAAGCCTAGCTGCAAGGAGAGAATGCATTGCAGACGTTCAAGTAACCCGCAAGTCAGAGGCGTGGATTACCATAATGAAATCCAGGTTCAAGGCTATAAATACCAAACTAGCTAGAAGATTTCTTTCTGGAATTCAGAAACTGTAAGTTTGGGAACGCTTTTGAACCTATCTGGGTCAAAGACTGTGAAACAAAAAGCTGGTCATTTGTCTTGACCAGCTTCAGGCAGTTCTCCCTATTTCCTTTTCTTATAGCAAATGGAAGTCACAGACGCTATATGGTCTGACAGAAAAAAATTAGGAGAACCTACTTGATTGCTGATGGCACTAAAACCAAAATTGCCTTTAAAAATCACAAAGGTTTGTCCTGCAGAGAGCAAAGACAAGAAAAAAGCCTCCGAAATTTTAGAGATTCTGCAGAGCAGAATCCAGCCTCTAAGAAAGAAAAACTTACTACTTGGAAAATTGCATAGAATTTTATAAAATAGCATAAGAGAAGAGATGAGAGTAGACAACACTGACACAGGGAACTACAAGAACAGAAGCATATGCAGAGCGCAGACTGCTGGAAGGCATGTAACACAAAATAGGGCATATTCTGAAGGCAGGATAATTCTAGAGAGCAGCTCACGCGAATTAAGCGGTTAGTGTTGGATTTAGAAAAGTAAAAGTTTAAAGAAACACTGCAAAAAAAAAACTTGCAACTACATTTTCCATAGGCTGCAATAAAGAAAGAAGGGTGGAACTGGTAAAATATATACATACATACACACACACACACACACATATATATATATATACACACATATAAAGGGAGGAAGTTGCAGGCCCTTAAAAAAAGAGAAAGAGGAATCTGCTGCCTTCTATTCGGAGCCACTTACTCATGAAACTGAGGGTGTAAAATAATGTGGGTTCGGAGCATTTTTGCATTATTGTCTTCAGAACATTAAGGATTTTATTCATTTTCACAACAGTAATAGTTAAACCTTCACTAATATTCTCCAACACTAGCTTCCAGTTTATCTTCTATTACACAAGAGGTAAAACCACCTCTATTCTCCAAGAGGATTCTTAACTTTAAAAGATAATGTTATCAGTCACTCCATCTCCACCAGCTGTGCCTCAGGAGGAACGGAGGAAACCGAGGAAACATGCTTGTTGAATTCCCTTGATCTTGAGCGGCAAGTTGTCCTTACTGCCTTTCTCTTACTCACTGAATGGTAGACCACTCCTTTCAAAAGCTCTACCTGAAATCATCTTTTAGGCATATGAATTCTTTTTCAAAGACGGGCATCCTACGATTACATTTATTACACACAGTATTCAAAGAACAAGCATTTTCCTTGTCTGCTTTTTCCCCAGGAAGTAATGGTATCAGTCTATTTGCAAGTAAAAGCATCTTTGACTGAAACGTCATTTTCTCAGTTCTTCTGAGATGCTTTAGGGTATCATAAAGCAGCCACTGAAATGGAAGTAAATTGTTGCATTGACTTTAACGCTTGGTACATTGTCATGTCTATGTAAAAAGGTCCTAACTTACCTGACATGGGGCCCACCCCTCTGGACCCCACACGTGGTATCATCCCTCACCAAGA